ACTGCAGCCTGTCGCTCCGGAGTGTGGCCCTGCTGTCCAACACCCCGGCCTGCCTCTTGGAGTCGGGCCAGGAGCTGGCACTTGGCTCGGGGAGGGAATATCTCAGTTCTCTACTCAAGACATGCTGACGTGGGGGATGGAAGAGCACTAGATGCCTCAGGAGCCAGGATCCGATGTCCATGAAACTGGGGTGGGATGGGGGGTGAAGCACCCCCCTCCACAAATCTGGGCTTGGCCCCACTTACGCGTACAGGTTTTTTATTCTCAATAAATGCTGGGTTTTGTATCCGCAAAGGATGGGGGCATCTCTCTGCACCTGAGCTGGGAGCACCGTGCTGCTTGCCCTGCACCATGGGGGCTGCAGCTCAGACCCCTGCCTGCTGGGGAGCACCTGGGGTTGGGCTCTGCTCCGGGGGTGGTAGAGCTTCTGCCTCCCCACCTGGCCCCCAGTCCCCCTCCTTCCCTCCCCAACAAAGGAAGGCAGCCCCATAGCCCTGTTCCCACCAGGCAGCTTTTTATTTCCTGGCTACTGACATGACTGCTCCAGAGACTGCCCTAGCCCAGCGCCCCAGCAGCAGGGTCCTTGAGTGCCCACCGGCCAGTCTGATGCTGCCGAGGGGGGAAAGCCCGGCCTGGTGCCCCCAGTCTGGGGGATGGTTTGGTTCTCACTCCCAGACGGTCAGCGACTCCAAGGTCCAAATCCGCTCCCAAGGCAGCTCCCAGGCAGGGACCCCCAGGCCCCCTGAGCAGGCAGGAACCACGGGCCAGTCCAAGGAGGGTGTCCAAGGGGCACTGGCACCACTGTGCCCCTGTGGCTGGAAATGGGGGGCAGCTCCCAGCGAGTCCTGGCCATGAGCTGGGGTCTCCCGGTCCTGCCCCAGGCCCCTCTGCTGTCCTGGGTGGCAGCTGCTTTGCTGGTGTCCATGGGCAGGTGGAGGGTGGGGTTGGGTGGCACTGGGCCTGGCCCCCCTCACTTGCCCCCGGCCATGATCTTGAGGTACTGTAAGGCGTTGCGGGCAGCATCGGCACGGGCAGCGTCTCGGGAAGGGGCCGTGCCGTGGCACACGGTGGTCGGCTGCGTGGTCAGCTCCACCAGGCACTGGTACAGGCCGCTCAGGCTCTGCTCGGCTGTGGGGAGAAGCAGGGGTCGGGGTCGGGGTCAGGGGCACCGAGAAGGGCAGAGATCTAGAGCGGCTGGGACCACACTGGGCTGGGACTTAGGAGAAGGGACCCAGGAGCTAGTGCTAGGGGCAGGGATGGAGACACAGCCCAGAGGGGGTTGGTGGGAGGGAAGAAAGGGTCCTGGGCTTGGGGCTGGGAGGGTGCGGGGGGGAAACCTCACCAATGTCCAGGTAGCTGATGGCAAAGCTCTGCTCCTCGGACAGCTCCTGCAGCAGCCCGCAGTACCCGGGGCTGAGAGCGCCCAGCGGCTGGCTGCCCAGGTGCAGGATCTTCTCGCCCACTGAGTTGCGCAGGGAGTCCCAGGTGCAGCCGGGCAGGCGGCCCCGTAGCCCGTCCAGCTTGGGCCCTGGCGCCTGGCGCAGGTAGAAAGAGGGGAGTGTGAGCTGCATGCCCGTCCCCGCCCACTACCCCACGCACCCCCGCCCTGCACTCACGATGGAGAACTGGTCGTCCTCGGCTTCGGCCTCACTGCCCTCGCGACTGAGTTGCGCAGGGAGTCCCAGGTGCAGCCGGGCAGGCGGCCCCGTAGCCCGTCCAGCTTGGGCCCTGGCGCCTGGCGCAGGTAGAAAGAGGGGAGTGTGAGCTGCATGCCCGTCCCCGCCCACTACCCCACGCACCCCCGCCCTGCACTCACGATGGAGAACTGGTCGTCCTCGGCTTCGGCCTCACTGCCCTCGCGCTGCTCCATGGGCACGTTGTGGATCCGCACCAGCATCTTGGCGGCTGCGTTCCTCTTGGCCAGCTTCTTGGAGGTGCCGCTCCCTGCAGGGTTGAGGAAGGTGGGGTATAATGTCGCTGCTGCGCACCGGGCAATGCAGGGTTAACTCTGGTACAGCGCGCAGAGAAGGCCGGAGTGAGGGGCATCGGCAGGGAGCTGTGGGGAGGGAGAAGCAAGGGGCTGTGGGTGGTGAATGAGGGGCACTGGCAGAGGCAGGAGGCTGCAGTTTGGGAAAGAAGAGTAAGGGGCATTGGCAGGGGGGTGGCAGGGGCTGCAGGTCAGGAGGGAAGGGCACCAGCAGGGCCGGTGGGGGCAGAGGGCAGCGGGTCAGGAGTGAGGGTCGCCGCCAGGGCTGGGGGGGCTGTGGGTCGGAAGTGAGGGGCAGCAGCAGGGCTTGGGGTCAGTGCCCACAGGCCCCTGGTGAGCTCTGTTAGCACCAGGCGCCGCGTGTCACTGGCCCGAGGCCAAGCCGGCCCCCGCGCCCCCCTGCCTGGGGTTACCGATCTCCATGAAGCGCTCGACGCGGCAGGTCATAGTGAACTCCTTGCGGTGCGCCGGCCCCGACTCCTGCGTCACCGTGTACTCGGGCAGGCGCCAGCCCTTCTGCACCACCAGCTCCTGGGGGCAGGGATGTGGGTGGGGTAAGTGGGCCCCTCCCTGGGACTCCCCCAGCCCCACTGGCCTCCAAGCAGAGCAGGGAGGGCAAACTGAGGCACAAAGACCTCCTGTCCTCCAGCTCCACCTGAGAGACCATACTTCCTCCAGCTAGGAGACAGGAGGAGGTGCCCCCGTTGCCTAGGCCAGGCTGGGACAAGGAGCCCAAGGGGATGAGGAAGCCCAGCAGCCTCACCCCGCAGCCTACCTGCAAGGCACCCACGGGGTTACACTCGGACTGCTGGGGCGACACGGGTGCCTTCATCTCCAGCGGGGAGCTTCTGAGCGAGACAAGGGCAGGCGCTGAAGGGGCCCAGCCTGCCCGGGCAGGCCCTTCACCCCTGTCCCGGCAAGAGGCTGCTGCAGGGGTGGGGGATGAGCCCCTATGGCAGACCCAAGGAAGCCCAAGTAGTAGTGGGGGGGGAGACCCGGCCCCGTGGAGCTGGTGGGGGCAGGTTTAGTCCCTGCAACGCCCTTACTCCACCCCTGAGGGTGCGGAGGGGCTCAGTGCGAACCCCAGGGCAGCCCTTACCTGGGCGAGGCGGCGGGCAGGGCGGGTGCGGGGGGGGCCGCGGCAGGGTCCAGCGGGGGGAGGGGCTCTAGGGAGGAAGCAGAGCTTCGAAAATAAAAGGTACAAGCATTAAAGCAGGCGGCGACCCCTGCCCCCCCACAGCTTGCCCTCACCTGGCAGGATGGCACCAGGACCCCACCCCGACCCACCCTGGTGCTAAGGGTGCGGGCTGAGGCAAAGCCTGCTGGCACCTGGGACTCTGCCCAGCTCCTCCACCCCCACGTCCCAGCACCGCAGCTAGGGAAAGCGAGGCACGGGGCAGGGAAAGGACCCACCCGAGCTGCCCCCTGGGGGCAGAGACCCAGGTGTCCTGGACGGTCGGCTTCTTGCCCCTCCCCAAGACCCCCTGATCTTCCTGCCCCGCCGCCCCAGGCCGGGGGGAAGGTGCTGGGGGGGTCAGAGCAGCCCCCGCCCCCCCACAGACCCCTCACCTGGGCTCCTCCGGCACCGCCGGCTCCAGCATGTTCCCCCCTTTCAGGAGCTTGAGGGCCACCTCCGCCGCCTTGTGCTTGGCTGCCTTCTTGCTGGGGCCCTGACCTGCGGGGGGGCACAGAGCTGGAGCGGGGCCGGCACCGGGACACCGGGGTCCCAGCCGGACCCCGCCAGGCGGGGGTGGGGCACTGACCGGTGCAGCCGATGTCGCCCACGGTGACGCGGAAGGTGAAGTTGGGCTGGTGCGCCTGCCCCTCCGCCTTCAGCAGGTCGTACACGGGCGTCTTGCCTATGCGCGTCCCATACTCCTGCAGGAGGCTGATGGGCGTCTTCCCCGGGTTGGAGGCCAGCATCTGCTCTAGGCTGGGGGGCGCGGAGGGGTCGGCCGGGGGCAAGATCCTCCCCCACCCCAGCAGCCCCAGGGGAGGCCCGATCCTGCCCCAGCAGAGCAAGGGGGCTGCCCCACTGTGGGGGCCCCCCCCACCAAGAGTTAAGCCCCGCCCCCATGCTCTGACCCCGCCCCC